CTTGAAACCTTGAAACCTTGAAACCTTGAAACCTTGAAACCTTGAAACCTTGAAACCTTGAAACCTTGAAACCTTGAAACCTTGAAACCTTGAAACCTTGAAACCTTGAAACCTTGAAACCTTGAAACCTTGAAACCTTGAAACCTTGAAACCTTGAAACCTTGAAACCTTGAAACCTTGAAACCTTGAAACCTTGAAACCTTGAAACCTTGAAACCTTGAAACCTTGAAACCTTGACGGTGACGTAGCGCTGTTCACGCCGTGTCACGCCGCACTGCAGTGGCACGCCGACCGTGTCACTGTCAGTGTGCGAACGGCCGCAGTCCGGCACTGACTGCCACGGTCAGGGCCCGGCCACCGTCCGACTGTACTACTCGCCGATGATGATGAATCAGTCACTCCGATGACCGGGTCACGGCGCCGCGGACTGAGTGTCAGGGTCATCACAATAATGATTTACTCAACAAAACTTGAAGTAAACAAGTCGCCGATGATTGAGTAAAAGAGACTTAGGGCCACTAGTGAAAGTTACGAAGAGGCTCTTCTTGCTGGGTCACGCTGGCATCCGTGACTGAGGTCACGTGTGCAGGGATGTCAGACAGTCAATATGCTGACACAACTCCGACAGTGAGCTCGTGCACACACCCTACCCCCTACCCCTAGTAATAAACACACCCTAACCATGGGTGGGAGGAGTTCACACCTTCAAGACGCAACGATTGACTATGATATTTTTTTTTTCCTTAGTGGCGTGACCATGACGGGTATTTCACCACTCCAAAGAGGGGGTGGGGGTATCTTGGGAAGAGTTATTGAAGATGCGCAGGACGTATGTGTCGTGCAAGCACAACGACGGGGTGGTTAGGCTGGGGTACTACTGGCAAGGCATACGCTCCTCGGCCATGGAGGGGCAGTGCGAAAGTTATATGGTGTTTCCAAGGAGGAAGAGAAGTAGCCCGGATGAGGAGCGTCCTCCTGCGATGTCTCTGACCCGGAGCAAGCTCGAGGAACTGTACTGCATGCGGCAAGTGCACGCTGCCAACCACCTGGTGAGATAGATAGATGTGTATTCTGAGACGTGAGCCTTTCCTCACCTTGTTTCTTCTTGCAGGGCATCTCGTTAACAGCCCTCAAGAATGCTTGTAGAGCATTAGGAATCACCCGATGGCCATACAACAAGAAGGAACAAGATGCGAAAGAAAATTCAAGCGACATTTCACCGGATAATGACGAGCATCAGGATAGTACTCGCTGTCATCAGGACTCGAGGCATCAGAGCATGAGCGATGAATGCATGAGCTCAGGAGATGTTGCAAGTAGTGTAAGATCGATGGGGTCTCAAACAGTCAATACCTCGCGGGTACAAGGTATGGTGCGAGCAAATGAGCAATTTCTTGCTCCTTCTCCGATGCAAGATTTCACACCAGGTCATAGCGTGCAAGTGCCGCCTCCAGAGATAGCATGGCAATCCGAACGAAGCATGGAGACTGATGGCCACGGTGTCGAGCTACTTCATGCTCCTTGCCCAGCTCAGCAATCTGGTCCTCTTTCTGACGAGGGCACGCAGAGACAGCATCGTGTTGACTGTGAGTTGTTCACCTTGGGACAAGAGAGTTGGCCATCTCAATCGAATGCGATCGCCTCGAGCAGTATACAGCAATGCTTGAGCGCAGAGTGGATTGAGTGGTTTGTAAGGATTCCAAATGAGGACCCCACCATTGAGTTGGGCGTGGGCCAATACCCACACGATGGCAGTACCCGTCGGACGCGGATCAAATGTACCTATCAACATACAGTGAGGTATCAACGTGCCATAACGCATGATTGGTGACTCAGGATATACTACGAGTGAGGCTAATCGTGATGCAAGAATTTACCGAATTCAGTTTCGTATCTGATTTTGATAAGACTATCTGAGACTCCCGGACTTAGTAGTTTCGATCATCATTGCTGGTTGTAAAGTTATAAAAGTACTATACATGATCACTAAAAAGTACAATGGCTCAAACTGAATACCACTCAGTGACACGGTGATTTGTGTTGACTTCCGTGACCGAAAAAAAAATTCCGTACTGCATGCAAAGATATTTGCAACCTTCAGATCTTCTCGTTCAAGCTTACTCTTGGACTCTGAATCGTGTCAACATGTTCATTCGACCATCTTGCATGCATGCAGAATGAGGGGTGGGGTACTACTGGCAAGATATACCCACCTCGGATCGGTAGTGCGCCGGAAACGACCAAGGCCATGGAGGGGCAGTGCGAAAGTCATATGGTGTTTCCGAGGAGGAAGAGAAGTAGCCCGGATGAGGAGCGTCCTCCTGCGATGTGACCGCTTCAGAATGATCATCAGGCTACTGGCATGGAAAGAAGGCAATATCGGAGACTTGCTTCAAAAAGTAATCGTGAATAGGGAATTGCAACGAGTTCACATCATACTCGAGGTGTGAAGTTGTTAGAGCTCATAGGAACCGAGCCCGAGTCAGACAAAGGTTTACTGGAACGAAAGGACAGTTGGCTGTCTCATACTCGTATTTGAAACTGACTTCTCCTGGATGACTCAGGCCCCCGATAGTCTACTCCAGTGTGAATCTGCTGAGAAGGACCCCTCTGGAGGAGTTTGTTGCAGGAACCGTGTACCCGTGTTGGCTTTCAAGCTAAGAGGACGGAGTTCTCTTCCCTACGAGAGAGCAAGGTTTCCTCTCGAAGTGCTGATGGGGATGTTCGACACATAAGGAGAGAAGCTTGTCAACTTCCAAGCAGAGGACACCCCTGCTTTCTTGAGGCCGCAAGGAGACTCTACCACTAGTACTCCCCTTAGCCTAGATAAGGATCAGCCTCTTCAGCTACAAGGGTCTGTTCACGGTTCTCTCCTCTTAGTGCTTCCTTTACTCAAAGTTAAGTTAAAAACCCCATGTTGTACCGTCCACGCCGCTGCCATGATCGGACTGGCGGCTAGCCTGCCAGCTAGTAAACTCGCCGTGACATCACTACACAACACCTGTATGTGTAACCCAGCGGAGGTGCTTTGAGCGTTCTCTGTAGACGTCTGTGAACTCTTCGGAACTCATCAGCGTCGGACTTCCAAGTTCCTGGCCTCGGAAGGCCCGGTACGCGCCGGGCGGCCCGCCTAGCCTAGGCTAGCCTTGACCGAGCACTGAGAGTGTCAGCCCGGGAGTGCTTCGGGGCCGGGCCCGCCGGGTTTGAGTGCGACAACATGGCGATGAAGATGCGACCCGGTAACGAGGGACAGGGAAAGGGCAGGAGCAGGGGCGGAAGCAAGAGCAGAAGGAGCAGCAGGAGCAGGAGCAGCAGGAGCAGGAGCAGAAGGAGAAGGAGCAGGAGCAGGAGAAGGAATAGTAGCAGGAGCAAGAGAGGACGCAGAAGCAGGGCGGGAGCAGGAGCAAGAGGGAGTGGGAGGAGCAGGAGCGGAAGCAGGATTAGGAGCAAGAACTTTTAGGAGAGAAACGGTGAGTGCTTATGAGAGGGTACAGCTGATGGAAAGCGATCGGATGTTCAAACGAGAGGATTGGATGACAGATGACGATAGAGGGGAGCAATTCCTTGCTGAAGGGAAGAGGGAGGAGGGGGGCGGGATTGCGAGGAAAGCAACATCGCTCATGATGCATATCAGCGCTGGCATGCTTGATGAAGACCAGGTTCCCCTGCGGCCATTCGGTTACATTCCCCCTGTTGTGCTCTTGTTCGGTCTGATTTTCTTGTCTTGACAGCGAGCGGCTCTGCATTCCGCTGCTCCGTTCGACGGCCTAGACAGAGGGATCCGAGCGAGCTTGAACAAGTTTGAGGAGGTAGCGATGCGAGAAGAAGCAGGGGTGCGGGGAGAGGAAAGTGAGCCGCGGCATGCAGGAACAGGAAGAGTGGGCGGTGGAGCAGGAGCAGGAGCAGGAGCAGGAGCAGGAGCAGGAGCAGGAGCAGGAGCAGGAGCAGGAGCAGGAGCAGGAGCAGCAGAGCAGGAGAGCAGGAAGAGGGGTTGGCGGAGCTGGGGAGGTGTTTGAGGAGGAAGAGGAGAGAGCTTGGGGGCAGGTCAGATGAGTGCTGGGCAGGGGCGGAAGAGAGCAGAAGGAGACGATCTGCAGCTGGTGTTCTTGGAAGGAGCAACGGGAGTTGGCAAGTCGACGTTGACGGTGATGGAAGAGGAAGACATGATGCGTTGAACGTGCTGACGTCATCGAACAGGGAAAGTTGGAGAAGATGGGCTACCAGGTGTACTATGAAGGCTTCGTGGAGCTGTGCAAGGAGAACCCCCATCTTCCTCCTACATCCTGTATGCTTGACGTCTCCTGCTTCCTTGTTTGCAGCTGCTCTTGTTGGTTGGTCCCATGATTCATGTGCGTGTGTGCAGTGTTGTACTGTGTTGTCTTGTTTTGT